AAAATTCTCTTCATTAAACAAATTACAACTGCTAATAATAACTATCTTCTTTCATGGAATAATATTTATTTCTGTACAAACAAACTAACTAAAGAAGCTACTCCAAACTGGTTTAAACAAATCTCAAATAACATACGACCAAATACAATATTAGATGTTTGGCCACAACTAAATCTACCTACAACAAACTCCTTTATTAATACTATGAACCTAATCCTAACACAACTATCACCAAATAATAACTTTCTATTTTAACTTCACTATCAAAACAATCAAAATATCTTTATCTCTCAATACTATAATTCACAAAAAACCCTCTTCTACAATATAAAAAAATTGCCTTCTGACCAAACTTCTCTAATACTAATTTCTTCTTTACCATCTTCTAATCTCTTTTCTTTTAATCTTCCTTATAATCAAATTAAAAAACTTAATAATCCACTTTTAATTCAAATAGACTATAAGGAAATTTTAGCACTAATTTACATATTTAAAATTACCTAATCTTCTCCTTTACCCCAATTGATACCATATATCAATCTTGCTTCATCTGAAGTTCAAATTATACAACAAACTACTAATTCAATTTTCTACCAAAATCAATTAACTAATCTCTACTTTCTTATTAAAAATTTACATCCTAACAACTTAGAATTCTATACAAATATCTCTATTAAAAATCTACAAACACCAGATATTAAAGCTGGTATAGGATAGATCTGCAAAAATAGTAATTTAATCAAGTTTAATGCAGCAATCTTCCCTTATTCTGATACTACTCGTATTGAACTAGCTTCAATTATCACCTTACTTCTTACTATACCAAACAATTCTACAATTACTATATACTTGGATAATATAACAGCAATTAAAATCTAACATCTCTCTCTTCTCACAAACTTATCTAAAACAAAAACTGTGATATTTTACAAATTATTAATTCACTTAAAGAAAACAAAAATATCTCACTTAAACTTATTAAAGTCAAATCTCATTCTAATATTTCTCTTCACAATCAAACTGATCTATTAGTAAAACAAGGTACTACTAAACCAATAATCGAATTCTTATCTCTCCTCTTTAACTATCTAATATATTTCAACTGGAATAACTTCCTTATACCAATGAAAATCCGAACTTTTATCAAAAATACTATTACAATACAAGAACTCTCTACCTGGTCTACACTCAAATTCTTTGACGGTATTACTGATATCAAATGGGCTCTAATGTTTAAAATTTTAAATTCTTTAAAAAATAACTCCCTAAAATACTCCTTTCGTATTAAAATTTTAACAAATAACTTACCAACCATGCAAAATCTCAATATTCGCTATCCATATCTATACACTACATCAAACTGTACACAATGTTTAAATACCGAAAACACTCTACATATTCTTATTTGCAAGAAAAATAACCCTAATATTCATCAATCACTTATTAATGTTATTAATAATTCACTAACTTCACTTAAAATTACAACAATTACCGCATCAAATCTTCTCAATATTCTTTTACACTTTACTCTAAACTCTTCAAATCCTCAATACAATCACATTCTTTTTGCAATATCTGGAACCTTTACACTTACAACAATTACTAATATTAAAACTTTAGTTCAAAAACAAACAGAATCACTTCTAATGAACTTATCAAACGACCTTCTAAACTGGTTTTATCAAGATATTTGGTCTCTACGGAATCAACATCAACATAAATGGGAACTAGCTCGCAACATTACTCCTAAAACCAAACGCATTAAATTTTCCTATCCAACAACTTTACCAACTCCAAATACAAATATCACATCAAATCAAACAAATAATTTTGAACTTGAAATTAAAAAATGGTTCTTACAAGGCTCCTCTCTATTAACTTCAACTTTATAATGTCATGATTAACACCTTAGGTCTCCTCCAACCTGTCCTAAACTAAAATTTAATTTGAAATAGTTAAATATAGTATTTATATAGGAAATAGGGGGTGTAATGTCACATTGGGTGCCTTGTTTAACTGATAGTTAAACTTATGTAACACAAATATAGTTTTGAAATCTTTAACATAGGACTTATGTTCTAACTCTTTTAAAATAAAGTTTTGACTATGACATTATTTAATAAAAAAAAAAAAAAAAAAAAAGTAGAGCAGCTTCTATTTTCAACCTCTCATTTGTTACCCAGAAGTTCTTACTAGACCAGAGTTTAACTCAGATTATTATCAATTTTACGTCAAGCAGGTCTGGTAGAACTAGAGCATTTAGCTCATTGTCTTCTTGCAGATATTAGTATATAGTATATTTTGGGAGGAGCCTTGATTTGTCTTTTATTCATGAGATCATTATCTTATTAATTCTGTTTAATTGCTTTCTGTTTGGAGAAGTATATATGAGACAAACCAGACCTTCAATAGTAAGAGTAATTTTGCTATCAGAATTTTGCCCTTTAATGAAAGTCCTCTTCTTTTCGTAATTTCTGTTAACTTTTTCAAATTTGTAGTAACATCATTCCAGAGAGTTTTGCTTAGTTGTCCCTTCTTGTCTACTTCAAATCCAAGGATTCTGATCATCCCATCTTCTCCTAATTTGTCAAAATTTCTCTCTCCCAGTAATATTGTCAGCATGCTTTTTTGTTAAAGGGAGCAGTTTAAATTTTTCTTTGTTCACCACTGCATTTGCTGCTCTCTTATATTTTGTTAAAAGGCTTATTAGATTATTCTAGTCTTCCATTGAACCTAGGCCAACTGTTAGATAATCAGCATAGGCAGTGACCTTAAACCTTGTAGGTCTAGTTGATACACTATTTATTTTTTGACTTAGTAATCTTAGGAGAGGTTCAAAAGCTATTATATAGAGTAAGGGAGATAGAGGATCCTCTGCATTACTTCTCTACTAATCTTAAAAGAGGTTGAGAGGAGACCTGCATCTGTTATTTGTGCTGATAAGTTTGTAAAAAGGCTTTTAATTAGATCTATAAAGATAGAGCTAAAACCTATTTTTATAAGTACTCGAATTAGGTAATTATAATTTACCCTATCAAAGACCTTCTTTTGTCTAAGAAGAAAAGCCAGATTGTGTCAAGCTGATTTTCCTGGCTTCTCATCGTGCTTATAATATCTAAGGCAGCATTGATAATTGATCTATCCTTTACAAAGCCTACTTGGTATTCATCTATTATGTCTTTATAGATGTAGTTGAGTCTGTTTGCCATAATTTTCATGAATATTTTGGCATTTGTATTTATTAGTGAGATAGGTCTCCAGTTACTCATATCTTCGAGCCTTTTACTTTTTTTAGGAAGCAGAGTGATTATTAATTTCTACTATGAGTCTGGAATTGTACCTAGAACTAGTGCATTTTTGAATACATTTTTGAGGATTAGAAAAACTTTATCACAAAAAGCCTTGTAGAATTCATAAGTTAGTCTGTCTGAACTCAGTACTTTATAGTTTGGAAAATTGTCAATTATATCTATTATTTCCTGTATACTAATTTTCTTTGTTAGTACCTCATTTTGTTGTAGTAATACTGAAAGAAAGTTCTCTGTGAGAGTCTCTACTGCTTCTGCATCTATTGGTTCTGTTTAGTACATTGTTTCAAATTGATCCCTTATATACTGCAAAATTTCTAACTAATCATCAATAGCTGGTAATGCAGGGTTTCTAACTATACTTGTTGCTTCTCGCAATATTCTTGACTTATAGCATTCAAAGAAATATTTTGTTAACTTTTCTTTTTCTTCTAACTATTTGATATTTGATCTTAATTGCCACTTTTTTGTCAGGAGTTTTAACTCTTCCTGTAACTCCGAGTTTAACTGCACTATCACAATACTCAGATCTGTTAATCAAGGGTCTATGGCTATTTTGTTGTTTAGTTCTGTTATTCTTTTATGAATTTTTTGTATATGAGTTTCCGGAGCTGTTAGTAGCTTACAGGCCCTAAAAATTAACTGGCAACAGACCTTTTGATTGTTCTAGTCTACTGATGTCTCCTTATTTTCGAGGTCTTTTTTAATTTCTTTTAATATAAACAGTTTACTTAGTATCTGTAGATTAAGCTTCTATAAAGTTGGTTTTGGCATTTCTTGATTTCGATATAAAGAACATCAGATGAGGAGATGGTTAGAGTTTCTGAACTTAGTCTCTGACTTTTTACATATTTGTATATGATCATTATTAAGGAAAATGTAATCTAATCTTGTGGTCATAAGTTGCCTATTTCTAACTGTTTGATGGTAAGTAATAAAGGGTTTTATCTTGTTGATACATACTGTATCTGTAAAATTCTCCATGAGTTCTGCTAATTTATTTCTAGTTGGATCATAGTGGCTATTTGATTAGTAATTCTATTGTTTATTGGGTTTAGATTTATATTGAAGTCACCACTTACAATATTAATTACATTGTTATTTATTCTAGGCATCCAGGTCTTTAAAAAGTTGCATCTATCTGATATATTTGGGGGTGTATAGACATTCGTGACTTGGAAAGTTAAATGTTTAAATTGGAAATTAGTAGTTATTACCCTTCCATTATATGAGGTTTATTAATTGTTAAAACTTATTTTTATATTTCCTGCTAGTATAGCAGCCTTCGATGATCAAATCAAGTCTAAGTGCTATTAGTTCTTAAGAAAATCTTACATGGTTGTGTCATTTAAATTGGTTACTTGAATAAATATGATATCTAGTTTGTATGACTTAAGAAGAGTTAGTGTTTTTTTATATTTGCTTTTATTATTAAGTCCTTTGACATTCAATATTGCAACTATGATTACGTGTTCTTCTCTTATTGTAGTAATGTTTTAGGTTTTTTATACAGGTCTAGGTAGTCTCTTTTGTCCTTTTTATTTATTTTTTTCTTTTTTTTGTTGTATATGACTTTGGTGAATTTATTATCTGTCTGTAGTAGTATTATGTCTTCAGTTCTACCACTTACTTGAGTTTGCTGAATACTTTTTTCATTCTGATTGCTTTCCTGTTCAATTGTATTAGGAATTGTTAAAGCAAAATTCCCTATATTCAAAGTTATGGTTAGTACTGTAGGAGGTTTCTGGTTAGCAGATACTGTTAGCTGTTTATTGTGTGTATTTAATTTTACTTTCGCTATTTCTAATAGAGGGATAGTCCTGCTAATATGAACATCTTGTTCCATTGTCTCTGTTTCTTGTATATTGAGATCCTGACTTCTATCATTGTGAGAGTTTTCTGCACTCTCACCTTCTATTTCTTGATCAGTTTTGACTATGCTTTCTTTTGTAACTTGCTTGTTCTTAAGTTCCTTAAATTCTTTAAAATGTTGGCTTAGGTTTCTAGCTTCCTTAAATTGCTTACAGTTCTTTTTTATGTGACCTTCTGTATCATAGAAAAAGCAAAGTTTCAAAGCCTCCTTCTATTCTGTTACTACTTTCTGGTCTATTATACTAATGTATCTTGGAATTCATTGTGTTAAATTACTGTCCTCAGTTATATTGAAAATAATGACCTATTGATCTAACTGTATTGGGGTTCTTTCAAATAACAGTGGTTTAATCACCTTAATAGTTCCTACATTCTCAAAGACTGCTTTAATCTCTTCTGTAATTGCTTCTTTGTCTGTAATTGGGACTCTTCTCAGTCTTACTGATAATAACTCTTGGTTAGATCTAGATGAAATGTAACTATAAAAGGTTTATTGAAATAAAACTATGCCTTCTTTTGCATATTTTCTCATTTTTTGTTCATCAGTAAAGATTAATTCTAGGTATGTCCGAGTTCCTTTAAAGAAATGTGGTTTGGCCCTAATAAAATCTGCTCCCATTTTACTATAGAGTGTGACCACTATGTTGTTGGTAGAGATCTTGTGAAGCTTTTGAATGTCGAACATTAGTGCATTATTATTTTTTGTGCTAATATTTATTCTGGGAGAAAAGGTAGAGTATGTGGCCCTTCCCCTTGTCAGTTTCGTGAAAAGACTTGATCACGATTTTTTTTCTTGGGGAGGTGTATTATTTCTAAGCTCTTCATTAATGTTGGACTCTGCATCTATATTTGCATTGATACTACCCGTATGCATGTCAGGTGAGCTCGTCTCACCTGATCTCTCATCACGGAAATTGCCAGAACTTTCTGTAGTGAGGGCCGAAGAATTTTCCTTGCGGAAATTATTAGTTTCAAGTTCTTCTTGTTGGTTTTCCGCTGCTGCTTCATGTTCCATAATCTCTAGCCAGTCTGAATAGGTCGAACCCGTGGTATTCGGACTTGAGGTAGTCAGGGAAGCATGAACTTTCGCATTCGTATCTGCAAGTGTTGCTGTCTGCAGTGTATTCATCGTTTCTTCACTTTTACTTCTTGTGTTATGAACCTTCTTCATTTCTTTTCTTTTTTTATTGTTCTTAATTATTATGTCCTCTGAGTTTCTTTTCCTTGGTACAAGGGCTGTTGCCCTTGTATCTGCTTCGGGTGTGTCTTCTTTCCTTCTAAGTCTTACGATGATGTTTTCGTTAGGGCACCCAGCAGGTGTCTTCTGCAGAGTGAGTGTCGATCTTTTTTAAATTACTTTTTATAATTTACAAAATACGTTGTGGCATTCGATACTCGATTTAAAAGAAATCAACAACAATTCATATATAAAAGAGGCTTAGAAATAAGCTATAATAAATTCTAC